AATATATATATATATATATATATATATATATATATATATTTATAATATATAAATATATAAAGGGAAATGGAGTTATTTAAAAAAAAGTATGTCAAATGACAGAGGGATACAAATATTATATCTCATAAAAAAGTTGTATTTATCCATACACTATTTTAATAAGTTACAGCATTATAAATTTAAAAATTTTAAATNCATACACTATTTTAATAAGTTACAGCATTATAAATTTAAAAATTTAAAATATAAAATCGAGAATTTTCACACAAAAATAGCATTTGGTAACTATTTTCACCGTGAAGACAAAATAAAGTCCGAAATTTTTTTTCTATGATAAACTATATTACATTACCTTTAATTTAAGATATATATAAAAGTGTCAGAGTTTCCGGACCACTTTCAAAAGTTATCATTTTAAATGCCACCTTTTGGGCAGGTAAAGTGTCAAATTTATAAAACAAAATATAAATCCTTGTTTACGTTGTTGACAAAACCAAACGTACAAAGCTTCATCTTAAGAATTGTTTTTTGTTTTTTTCTTAACGTGCTTCTGTTACCTAAATCATCCATGCTCGGCATTTTAGCGCCAAAATGTTCAATATCTTTTCGACTTTTTTTTTCCAATCAAAAACAGTTTACATATTCCCAACTCTTGGTCGATATTAGTTAAAGATTCACCAGCATCAATTCGAAATAACGCTTGGAGTTTTTGTTCCATTGTTACTGTCACATTTTTACGTTTTCATTAATTAGCTCACAAAATAAAGCAAACGTTAATGTTAAGCGGACTACACGATACCAATAAGTAAAACTACGACTAATAAACTAAAACGAGATATGTCTAATGACTAACGAATATTTTTCAAATAAAAATTCTAAACGACAAAATTAACTAAGAGGATACTTAACGAAAAAGAAGCTACGTGTCAATACAATCTTCATAATTTCCAATATCTTATTAAATTGTGCTATAAATAATACGAGAAAATTATTACATATGTTCATTTACATCTCTATACGTGGTCAAACATATATCAATATTATATGTATAGATAACAATTGGTGTTGATATAAATTATTATAAATTTACATTAATATTTAATATAACATATGATATAAGTTTATTATATATAATTGATTGTTCGGATTATCCGGATGTTCGGACTAATGTGGACCGGATTAGTGAGACTCTACTGTATAAGGAATTCATACAACTTTGATAAAAATAGTTTAATTATTCGATCCTAATTACATATAACTTATTCACATGTTAACCCAGGTTCGTTTAAATTAATGTCATTTAAGGTAAAAATGCAACTATTTAGTCATATTTTGGACTCAAAAAATTAAAATTTTTAATAATAAATTCGATTCTACTAAAGGGTTGACTCCTATGCACGCGTCTATAGACGCGGGACCGACGCGGCGTGATTTAATTTTTGCCGCGCAGATACTACTTTATTTGTTTTTAAATATAACCGATTCGACGAACGCTATGAGAGCACTCAAATTGCACGAGTCGCGCGGCCAATAGCTAAAAATATAGACAAAAGGCAGATATACAGCCACAAAAATTACTTGCTTGTGGATTGTAATTAATTAATATATTATTATTATAATTTAATTAGGTTATTAAATTATTTTATTAATTTATTATTGATATTTTAATTTTTAAAGTTTGACATTTTGTAAACACCGTGTGATGTAAAAGTTTTCCTGTTTTCTGTTAAAGTATTATTTATAGTAGAAGAAGACATACAATTGGCTGAATGTGTAAGGGTACACCCATGTTTGTATGACCTAAAAAATGCCAACT